ACCTCTCTCCTTACCATCCCAGGATCAAGGCTAAAAGTCAAGAATTTTTTTTTTTTCATATTTTATGCTCTAGTAACCAAACTTCAAGTCCCTCCCAGCCTCAAGCTGTCCAGTATATGTTTTAGATAATTTATCCTGCACCCACATATCTGCTCAGCTGTTCTTTCACTACTTCATTTCTGAGCTGTGAAGGGGTCAAGGATGGCTGCCTAGATCTGCTCCACCATCTAGAGAAACAGTTCCTTACATACGCTCTACTTTAATCATTTGTCAGATAGTAGTTGGCAACTAATTTCTCTGATTCTGTTAAGTTTTTCCTTTACTCTGTTAAATGTCTCCTTTGTTGTGCAGAAGGTTTTTAATTTAATGTAATTCCATTCATCCATTTTTACTTGTTTCCTATGCTTTGGGGATTCTAACCAGAAAATCATTGTCTGTATCAATGTCTTGAAGTGTTTCCACTATGAATTCTTGCACTAGTTTGAACGTTTCAGTCTTACATTTAGGTTCTGATCTTTTTAGAGTTGGTTTTTGTACAGGGTGACAGTTGGGGCCCAAGTTTCAATTCTTTTGCATGTAGATATCCAGTTTCCCCAGAATCAGTTATTGTCTTTTCATCAAAATATGTTTCTGGAGACTTTGTTGAGAATCTATTGGGTATGGATGCACAGGATCATTTCTAGGGTATTTATTCAATTCTGTTGATCTAAGTACCTGTTTTTATGCCAGTAAAATGCTGTTTTGGTTACTATATCTCTGAAGTATGTCCTGAAATCAGGTCTTGGGATGCTTCAAGTTTTGCTCTTTCAGTTAAAGATTACTTTGTTATTTGGAGGTCTTTTGTGCTTTCATATAAATTTTATGACTGCCTTTTCTAGTTCTAAGGAAAATTTCAGTGATATTTTGGTGGGGAATGCTTTGGATAGTACGAATATTTAAACAAAATTAAGTATGGATATTTAAACAAAAATTTCATGAACATGGGAGATCTTTCTATTTTGGGGGTCCTCTACCTACTGTCATTGTTTTGTAATTTTCACTATATTTTTGCTTCCTTGATTAAATGTACTTCTCAGGAATATTTTTAGTACTTATGGTGAGTAGAATTGTTCTCCTGGTTTCTTCCTCAGCAAGTGTGTCATTAGTATGTAAAAACGCTAGTGATTTTTTGCATGTTGATTTTGTATCTTGCAACTTTGATGAATTCATTTATCAGTGCCCATAGTCTTTTGATGGACTCTTCAGATTTTTCCACATATTATCATATGACCTACAAGAGGGATAATTTGACTTCCCCCCTTTTAATAATAGATTTATAGCTTTATGGGCCTCAATGAGCTAAAATTTTTCCTAAGAGATTAGAACTGGAACCTGACTGAGTGTTGTGCATGTCTTAAAGTGTAATTACCTGATAAAACACACACACGCACACACACACACACACACAGAAAGGATATTCATAACAAGTCTAATAGATTGGAAATCTTTAAGATGAACAGAGAAGATGGGGGGAACTCCCCCTTAATCATGTTTCCTATATTAGCAGAGCCACAGATATCCCCACAAAGGGGGACCAAATGTTCATGAAGGGATTCAGATGTTCTCACAAAGGAATACCAGATGTGTGGAAATAGATTCTAAGCATACTCACCAGGGGAGCTTACCAATGGGCCAAGAACTTGCAACTCTACTATATTCAGTTTCCTTTTTCTTAAATAGACCAGATGGAGGAGGGCACTGCACCTATTCAGGAAAATAAAGAAGGAAATCTCCAAAACACAGGGAATCCTGGCAGCTTCTTCAAAACTCCCTCAGACTCTCCACCTTACTTATGGAAGCAGCTCCTCCAGTCCAACCTGAGGCTCACAATCAGAAAGCGAGACTTGCCCAAGAGAGAGCTAGGGTCTCTCTCAGGTACTATCTGGGGTGCCAAAATTGAAACAAAAGCTCCGTTTTTGTCCCTGATGCTGATTCTATAATGAAGACAAAGTTTGGGGGAAAAGGAAAAAACAAATCATTGCTTTGCAGCAAAGGAGAAAGACGAAGGAATCACCCCACAAAGGCTGCCATTCATCACACTAATACTCTTCTGGGGAGAGCACAGCACTAAAAAGGCGGACACAGCAGCTGTTTTCTGAGTAGTATTATCAGTTAACTTAATTAATATTTAACTTATATCCTTGAAAAAGCTGTTTTTCCAGTTTCCAGGTCCAGAGTTTCCTTATTCTTGTGGGCAGTAAGTGGAAGGGAAGATTACTTGGTTAAAGGTTGTAAGAATGTCATTCTTCTTGTCCCTTGGCTGGGAACAGGAGAGAGAGAGATGATGAAAGAAAAAAAAAAAAAGGTCAGTTTTAATATAAACTGCCAGGTGTTGAACAGCAAGGTTTGTACCCAAAGCATGAAGTGGACCCCTGTTTCAAGACCACTGCCTACCAACAAGGTCAAAGATTCATTTTCAAAGCCAAAAGTCATGTAAATGGGATCCACCAACAAATCTTCTACACATCACTTTAATGTCCATAGTTGTCTTCTAACAAATGCCCTTGTAACCATTACTGAAACACATTCTCTTTTAAACTAAAAAAAATTTTCCATTTGTCATAATAAAAAATATTGAAAATTCCTTCCAAAAATTTATTCCTTCTCTTATTGTAAATTTTAAATCTTCTTTGGTTTTTGTTTTAGGTTTCAGCTCTTTCCTAGATTCAATGTAGATGGAGTTACTTTTTCTACTTTGGATTTACCTCAGTTAAAAGAGTTCTGAAATATTTTACTCTACATTTTCACCAGAAGTTCACTCTGAATTCTAACATGTTTCTCTTCATGTAAATTTTGGAATGTATGGCTGGCTGCATATTTCTAGCCAGCCTTAGAAAACAAAGAGATAAAAATGAATTAATATACATATAACTGGGGCATGATGGTCAAAATTATGCTTTTCTTTTCTTTTTTTTTTAGAGAGAGTGAGAGAGGGAGAGAGAGAGAGAAAGAATTTTAATATTTATTTTTTAGTTATCAGCGGACACAACATCTTTGTATGTGTGCTGAGGATCGAACCCGGGCCGCACGCATGCCGGGCAAGCGCACTACCGCTTGAGCCACATCCCAGCCCAAAATTATGCTTTTCCATTAGCAAAAACTAAGTAGGCCATGTAGGTAACTATAAGCAGAAAAACAAAGAGCTGCAGATGAACATTTCACAAATCACCACAATCAACCTTTCTTGATGTTCAGATAAGATTCTGTACTGTTTTAGCATTAAGCTTGATTGCACAAGGCAGAACACTCACATTAACAATATCTTCTAAAAGATGTAGTTATGTGAAAAGTATACAAATAGGTAAGAGAAGATGATTAGGGCATTGAATGGTCTCAGGAATTTGTTTCCTATTTTCCAATTTTGCTTGGGATAAGTATTTACTTTTCAATTCTGCTTCATTTTTTTTGTGGGGGGGCGGTCTTTAACATGTTTGCTTCCATTTCCAAAGTTATCTCAGACATTGAGAAGCCTGAGTTCCTGCCATCAAAATGTCTTGTCAGTCTGCAATTAGGAGAAACAGAAATGTTAAAACACACCTTCCTCCCTTGTCTTCAGATGCACTTTGCAGGAGTTCTGCACCCCACTGGTCAGACTGAAGTCATGTGACCATTATGGGTTGAATTATTTTCTTTATTTGATTGAATAAAATGAGAAAAGTAGTTTCATTCATCCCAGATAATAATTAGGAAGGAAATGGAGGACTCATTCTAAAGGAAGTGGTAAACAGATTCTGGAAAATAATGAATGGGCTGTCATATAACCCCATTTTCCCCAAGTCTAGTATCCATTTAGTTATATAGATACACAGTTGGTAACAAATTTCATCTGACTGGGAACTCTGGAATCAATGGCTCAAATATGGCTTATGAATCTCATTACTCTAATCATGCTTTTTTTTTTTTTTACATTTTTATTGGTTCTTTTTTAGTTATACATGGCAGTAGAATCCATTTTGATATAATTATACAAGCATGAAATATATCTTCTTTTAATTAAAACCCTTTTAGTAAATAGTAAATTAAGTGTTAATGGTGAGATTCACTATGGCATATTCATATATGTACACAGAAAATTTGTATCAGATTCATTTCACTGTCTCTCCTTTTCCTATCCTTGCCAAACATGCTTCTTTTATTTAACTGTCCCAACTATTTGATTTATTTTTTATCCCAACTTTTTCTTTCCCCTACATCTAATATATTAATGTATCATCCTTTTATATCTGTGTTCTTCAAAAACGTGTTGCTTTTTGTGTAGAAATTTAATTGTAACAAAAAGTAGAAAGCTATGCTTCATGCATAATGCATTTCATTCAGCATCCACTTAAACACCTTCCCATATCAGTCTATGTCTAGCCTGTATCTTCCCTCTATATAGGAAGTGTACATCTACCACATTTCACCAATGTTTTCCCAATAGGGTAAACGTATCAGGTGTGCTTCTAACACCTCATTACCATTAAATTGTTGTGCTCAACATCATTGTATGTTCGCTCATGGAACTGTGGCCACAGTATGTTCAGAAGTGGGATTTCAAGTTCAACGTGTACATACTTAGATAAGATACTGCCACATTAGATAAGACACTGCCACAGCTCTCCCTAATCACTTCACCACCATCAGTGCATGAGATTTCCCAACTAGTTCCCATCCCTGCAGACTCTGGGTTTCTCTGGCTTTCTGATTTTCCCAAGTTAGTAATGTAAAATGATACTACTTTCTTTTAATTTTTATTTCTCATATCACTAGTGGATTTCAGTATCATTCATATGCTTTTATCTTTGGGGGTTTTTTATCTGTGAATGGCTTATTCACATACTTTGCTTATTTTGTAAATACTTAATCTTCTTATTAATGCCTGTGCAAAATTATCTTTACATTCCTGAGAGCACTGACAGGATATGTTCTGCCTTCCTTTAACTGAGGAAAAAAAGATAGAAAACTTTTCAAAATCACTCATTTATTCAAGGAACATAACCACCACTTTGATTCCTCATCAGTGGTTTTACAAAAATCCATGAAGATCCCAGAGAGGTGCTTATCCACATGCCACAGTTAAAACCAAAACAGGTTAAAAGTTTAAAACTGGCATGAAAAAAATAAAAGAGATAAGTTTTAGAGAATAGCTAATTTCTGGAAGAAAGGAAGAGGAAGAAAGAAGTAAAATAATGCTACAACCAAAAGTAGAGATCAGCTGAGTCCCCCAACATCTGTGTGCAGTAAGCAGGATGCTTTCAGTCTCCAACAAGAGGACCCCCAATTTGAAGACCTGAAAAAACTCAAGAAAGTGTATTGACCAACAGGACTGAGAAGTCCAGGATTCATTCAGGCTTTGAATGTGGTTTCATCTGGACTCTTCAGTGAGTTTGTTCCCTCTAATTTCTTGTCCATCTGATTTCATCGGTAGAATTGTTTTTCTGGTGCTGGAAAAGTAACGAGTGATGTATACCCACCAGGGTAACATCCAGAACAAGATAGACCATCTTTTTCCCCCACCATCAAAAATGAAATTCAGGCTGCACATAAACTGAGCCAGACCAAATAGGACAGGCTCATATACTGACTCACCTCTTCAAGAAAATGTAAATGGATCTCTGTGATGTTATCTTGAATTAGAGGCTACCTGTTTATTCTTTAGCCCATCACATTGTCAAAGGAGGGATATCATGATTGCCTTGGGCTTAGCATCACAGCTGAGAGTGAAATCAATCAGCTGAAACCACATTGCTCACAAGCAAATGTGGAAAAGTGAACTGGAAGCTGCATGAGTGGTAGCCAGTCATGTTCCATCCAAGTAAAAACACTTCAGCTGACACCCATTTACTTTCCTCCATTTCATGTTTTTACCTTTTCCTCTGTTCTTCTTTTCTAATTATTTCCCTGTATTTTGGAGTTATTCTCAGTAAATACGTTGACCACACAAACAGTCACAGCCAGATGTGTGATGAATGAAGGCACGACAAGTGAATGCAAGAATGCATTTTTCAGGAGGAAATCCATGGGAGAATTTTCAGCGTGTGCTGTCACCTGCACCTGGTCTCTCTAGATGTTTTCTTTTTCCTGGGTTCCCTCTTCTCACTCTCTAAGCAAAATAAGGCTAATTCCATTTCCGCAAGTTCACCTCAAGTAAATTCTTCCATGAAGCTAAGAAAGAAGCAATGAAAATAATAAATAAACTGCAGAATCAAATTGGGTAGGCAAAATTTTTAAGCTCTGAACACAGTGATGATCTTTTTTTCCTTCCTTCCTTTACACTCAATATGCACCTGCCGCATAGTAAGTGTATAGTAGGTGCCTAAGAACTGTTTGTTGAATCAATTTATGAATTTTAAAGTAATAGAGTCTGGTCACAGAGGTCTTTACTCATATTGATAGTTGTGGTCATTAGTCAATGCCCATTAGTCAGGATTTCTGAATTTTCTGATTTGTCTACCTGTGGAAATTTATACCCCAAATTAGGTACTCACAGTGTTTTGCAATCATTCATAGATATGGACAGAGTGGTACAAAATGTAAGTCAAATGAAAAACACATTTCCTATGAAATATTAAAATGATGCTCTGTCTTCAGGTTTCACTTCTCACTCCAGGATGAACTGCACGTTTCATACTTTGTGCTCTTTGTTACTATTTTTGCCAATTAAAATGACCTCAAACATCTCTAAAATGCTACCTAATGATCTTAAAGTGAGAAAAAAAGTTGTAATGTGAATTACAGAGCAAGCATGTGTTTTAGATAAGTTTTGTTACAGTTACAATACTGTTGCCTGAAAGTTCAATGTTAATAAATGAACACTGGAAAAAGAAAGATGAAGTTTGATGATTAGTATGTGAAGCTACTTGTTATGGAAAATTTATGCTATGATAAAGTTACAGGAAAAAAAACCTAAATGAGTGGTTTACTGAGATGAGAACTAATTATTTTACATGTGGTAAACAGCATCGTAGGAAGATTAAATGCCAAGGAAATTTGTGATCACATTAATAAGCATCAGGAAATTGTTAAACACTTCTCTGATAATATTTTTGTTTAAAGAAATACTGCATACATTGATTTACCTGCATACAGTGATTTACTTATAAGTATATATTAAATAAGATTTTTAAACAAAATACACAAAACCAAGGTTATGTATTCATCAGTTAAAAAAAATATTGTGAACAGACAATCAAAGGAACCTATCCCTCTATTTACCCTAGGAGCATGACTCAGTGTTCACTAATGCAGTGTTTGCAGCAGCAACTGTAGAGAACATAACTCCTGAGAATGCACCTTACTCACCCGGACCTACTTCAGTCCTCAAGAGCAGCACTTTGACTCCATTTTTGATCCCCTCCTCAGTGATGCACTTGGGCCATATTTCAGGTATCACCACCATGAGGTGCCTCTCAACCTGAAAATGCATCTGTGACTCTTTCTGATGATTTTGTTAAAACAAAAATTATAATTCAGTAAGTCTGAGACCCAGGCCATAGAGTCTACATTTCTACCAAACTCCAATGTAATGAATCTGCTGAATATGTAAGAAAGACCTTCATCCTTCCCTGATCTTTTAATTAAGAGCACTTGGAACAAAAGTTTTATTCTCACAGTTCCATATAATTGAATAACGGAGTGGGTAAGGTGTTTCTTCTCAGAAGCTCAGAGAAAGCACTGTAAAACTAGGAAAGCATGAAGTCTCTTGGCCAAGCAAGACTTTTAACTAGTTGAGCATCAAATGTCTCAATTACAACATGGGTGTCAAGAAGACAGAGAATACAAGGTGGGGGGGGGGGGACCTCCAAGCCTTACCTAAATTCAACACAGGTTTTCACTGAGGACATGTCACATGCAGGCCAGACACTTCACCAGGGATACAGATATTTAAAAAGCATGTGCTTTGCTCTCAAATTTCTAAAACCTTAAAAGAAAAAAATGAATTTACAAAACTTCCACAGAGGGCAGACAGTAAAGGGTATAGTTGAAATGTAGGGAGTTGCACACGTGAGGAGAGATTGTGTCCCACTGTGAATCAAGAAAGAAACCTCTGTAGGATGTGACATCTGAAACACATCTGATAATACATTTATATCTAACCAGGCAGAGCTTGTTAGGATCCTATTCCTAACAAGGTCACAAATCCTGCAAGATCACATAGAGCATATATTAGTAACTGATCATGGAATGGAAATGAATCACCAAGCTTTAACAAGGAAGTGATGTCATCACCACATGGTGTCCAGGTGTAGACTGGGCACCTGGGTAGCTGGGTCCTCACTTCGAAGGGACAGCACTGCAGGGAGCTTCACAGTGGGTCCTAAGTGAACCAAATGAGAACAGAGAAATAACAGACCTTCATAAGGTGGAGGTGAGACCTGAGCAGAAAATGGGAATGGGGCTGAGAGGAGAAGGAAAGTGAGGAAAAAGTCAAAACAGAAGGGAAGACCATTGGGGAGGAGGAATGAACAGAACAGATTGATACAAAGAACTCACCAGTGTTTCCTAAATCAAAATCCAAGACTTGTCAGAAGAGCCAGGGCCACTATCACAGCCAAGAGGATCAAGCCCAGGGCACTATGAGGTGCTGCGGATTCATGATTCAAATCCATTCCCGGTTTTACCCCATGCACTCCCTGTTCACTGTATTAACCTATGCTAGTTTTCTTTGAGTTTCTACCTCACCAATCTTTCTTTCTATTTTTATCTCATTCCTTTACACAGATGAATCCTTCATCTATCCTATACCTTTTTGCTTCTACAGAGCCCTCATTCTTTTTGAGCCCTCATTTTTAATTCTTGCATTCCTTGGATTAAAATTTTTGTCTTCTTTTTTGGTCTGCAATCCTTAAACTCCCAATTTTTTAGCTGGTTCTCATGCCCTGCTAGAAGACCACTCCATCTCAATCCTGGGTCCCCATCTCTTACTACCCCAGTGGAGGACAGCCAGGCCTCAGGCTTCACTGCAAAGGACAGAAGAAACATTCAGACACAGATTGACATTGACTGAGGAGGTTCAGAACTCCATATGAGACCACATAGGTATATTTTTCCCCCTTTTGTAAATGTCACTTGGTATCCTTTTTATCCTGAATTTGACTTTAAAATAGAAAAAATCTTAGAGAAGGGCTACAAGACTGACCTTGTCTCTGGGGATGAGCCTTCAGAGCATCAAGAAGACCCAAGGTGAAACGTGGGCAGGTGTCATTGAGGAGCCTATGTACCCTCTCTGTGTTGCCTTGTGTCAGACTGAGTCATTTGCAGACTTTCTGGACCTTTCTTCCACCCTTTAGAGATGATCACCATGTTTTGTTTTAGAAGCTCATGAAATTATCTTGTCTATGAGTGAGTGATTTAACAGAAGATAACCATGGAGCATTCAAGTAGGACCAATGAGAAAGGAATCCTGGATAACAGATTTCAGAATACTTTATTCATTTTCACAAGTTCTGACTATTTTTTTATTATTATAAGCAACAGTAAATTTAGCAGAATGCTATATGTAAACCCATACTTAGTACCACATGCTTTTATCCTAAGTCAAACTGTGTAGGGTTCTCATTTCATCTTGGAGAGTTATAAGTATCCTTTATACATTACACTATATTAACTTATAACTTGAACAAATATTTACTAAACACCTACTCAGTGCCAGGCCCTCTGTTAGGAGGAGATACAGGATAATAAAAGATTAAGACTAATACCCCAAGTTGATCACTGAGGTAAAAATATAGATTAGACAAACACCTATGAAAGGTAGCCACATTAGAAAATATTAGTTCAATCAGGTTTTTAAAACTAGACTCTACTCTTTAAACTCAGCACACCAAACTCTATAATTCTCCCTACATAAACTGAAAGATCCTCTAATAAAGCAATTGCATTGCCAACCACTGTGTACTCATTAGTGTAGCAAGATACTTGGTTCTTGGCAGGTGCTAAATGACGGGTGAGTGAAAATGTATCAATGAAAGTCAAACAGAGGAAGCCTTTCTGTTTATCTTTTCAATGTTCCTGTGGTTTCCGTGATGGCTGCTGCCTTTTCCCTAAGAACAATGGAGAGTTGGTGATAGTTGATACTGTTGTAAAGGACAATCATAGGGGATTCTGAAAAAGTAGATAAAGTAACCAGTGATGTCGGAGAAGTGAACGTGGTGGAGTGGGGGATGGGGTACAGAAGAGGACACATTGGAGGATAATTCAAAACATCAGGAGGACAAAATACAGAAAATGCTTAAGACCCTGGGTTCAATCCACAGCACTAAAAAACATGTCCCTAGTGGTAAGGTGACTGTCATTACCACACAAGACTTATCCCATAGCAGTTGAAATCAGGGAGGACGAACAGGTTGGAAATTCATGACAGTGAGAGAAGTTGGAAGACTAAACAGAAAGAGTAGCAGGGTAAAGGGGAAACTGAGTAGGTGGTCTGGGTTTAGGGAAGGAGCAGATTTTCTTCATTGCAGGGAAGATAGGTTTGTCTGATGGTGGAGAAGGAAGTTAGAAGAGAGGTCTGTGGGGTAGGTTTGTTTAGAACAGAAATCAAAGGAAAACTTCTCTGAGAGAAAAAAGTAGCATCTGCAAGGGCCATCCTGTTTCTGCTAGTTCCCTTGCTCACTGCTGTCTTCCCAGGAGGTGACAGTAAAGTTGGTTAGAATTGAGGGAACTGACCAGATGGGTGTGTGTGTGTGGAGGGGTGGGGATGGTAGTTTCCCCTGCACATACCTGGAGAGAACCATGCTGGCCCCATTCTGCATGTTCTTACTCAAGCCCTCTGTGCTCTCATGGAGGCTGTGGATAGAGCATGGGACCCTGGGGGCCAGCAGATGTCAGCTAAGGTAACGGCAGCTCTCCATTTTTCCAGATCCTTTTTCTTAACTTGAGGACCTCCTTGGACCTCTATCTGGTGAGAGAACCTGTTGAGAGCCACAACCAAGTCAAGATGACGCCTGGCATTTTGCCAGAAGGAGTGGATGAGAAGTAACACCAGCGAGCCATTAAGATGATGATATTTGAGTTAAGCTGTGTATAATTATTAAGATAATGACTGATTGCTGTAACTGGGTGATGCTAAATTGAAACAAGCTGTGTATTCAGTTGTGCACATAAACCTCTGCTGTCTGGCAATAAGGCAGCTCCTGCTACCTCGGGTGCCCGCTACTTTTGAGTTCTCGTGGAGTTCCCGTTGAGTTCCCATTGAGTTTCCGTGGAGTTCTGGAGAGTTCCTGTTGGATTCGGGCAATCAAGTAGTTCCTGTTTGAACCTACAAGTGGCTCGTGAGCTCCCGGTTATTTGTGCCCAGCCAGACTGCGGCAAGAACCACCAGGGTCCCTGACTGAAAATCTGAATGAGGCAAAATTAATCTGTGGATCCTGTATCCAGAGCTGACTCCGCAGGTCACACAACCAGTAAAGTAATGCATTTAATGCTCCATGATCACCACCTTGGATTTTATTGAATTTGTGTTTCATAAGTGATATTCAATGGAACTTGTGAGAAAGCTCACAGAAGCCTCCTCAGCTTGTGTGGGGTTCTTCCCCTCACAACCTCACCTGCATGATCAGCACTGTGCCACCTGCTCCCCACTCTCTGGGGCCTTGGCAACTCTACACTCGACCTCTCCACTTCCATCCTGCCACCATGCAGTGACCAGGTCTTATTGCAGGGCAGGCCCCTTCAACATCAGCCTCTGCCACTGTCTCATGTTGGCAGGCACAAAAGGAGAATTGGCCATGAACCCAACAGTGCCTGGACAGAACATAACTGCAGACATCCCATCCAGTCTGTACCATCTTGTTTTGTAACTTGCTGAGAGCCACGGCCGAGTCTGTATGGCCCCTGGCATTTTGCCGACAGTATTGATTGACAGGCGAGGCATTACTATCCGCCTCTGCCACAACTTTTGAGTTCTCGCACTATTTTGGAGTTCTCGTGGGGATTTCCGGGGATTCCCCGAGAGTTCCCATTGGTTGGGGAAGTGCAGAAGGAGGGATTTCCGGGAGAGATATTTTCGGCTGGGGGTTTCCTGGACAAGAGGCGTGGCGTTTGGGAGGATTCCCCGGGAGCTGTGTGAAGTGTTTTCCTGCAGTTCAAAAATAAAGTTTGTTCCTGCTTCAGTGGCTCGTGATTTGTGCCCAGACAGACTGCGGCAATTGGCGGCCCATGCAGGGAACGTCTGAAGCTTCGGGGTAAGTGAAATTGCTTGCCCCTAAGGGAAGGCGAGAGAGAGAATGGGTGACCATTTTAAAAAACAATGTGTTCTTGTTTTGATTTGTTTTGTGTTTGTTTCAAGCTGCCTATCCCTAGAATTTTCTCAGGCAGATTGGGAAAAATGGTTGGCTCAAGGTTTGAAGTTGTTCGCCCCTGAGGAAGAGATAGAAATAGACCACAAATGCACATATCAAGAAAATAGATGGATCCTTCTCAAAAATAGACCGTATATTATGCCATAGGGCAACCCTCAGTAAATATACAGGGGTGGAGATAATCCCATGCATTTTATCTGATCATAATGGAATGAAACTGGAAATCAATGATAAAAGAAGGAAGGAAAAATCCTACATCACATGGAAAATGAACAATATGTTACTGAATGATCAATGGGTTACAGAAGACATAAAGGAGGAAATCAAAAAATTCTTAGAGATAAATGAAAATACAGACACAACATATCAGAATCTATGGGACACAATGAAAGCAGTTTTAAGAGGGAAATTCATCACCTGGAGGTCATTCCTCAAAAAAAGGAAAAACCAACAAATAAATGAGCTCACACATCATCTCAAAGCCCTAGAAAAGGAAGAGCAAAACAACAGCAAATGTAGCAGAAGGCAAGAAATAATTAAAATCAGAGCGGAAATCAACAAAATTGAAACAAAAGAAACTATTGAAAAAATTAACAAAACTAAAAGTTGGTTCTTTGAAAAACTAAATAAGATCGACAGACCCTTAGCCATGCTAACGAAGAGAAGAAGAGAGAGAACTCAAATTACCAACATACGGGATGAAAAAGGCAATATCACAACAGACGCTACAGAAATACAGAAGACAATTAGAAATTATTTTGAAAACCTATATTCCAATAAAATAGAAGATAGTGAAGACATCAATAAATTCCTTAAGTCATATGATTTGCCCAGACTGAGTCAGGAGGATACTCACAACTTAAACAGACCAATATCAATAGATGAAATAGAAGAAGCAATCAAAAGACTTCCAACCAAGAAAAGCCCAGGACCGGATGGGTATACAGAGGAGTTTTACAAAACCTTTAAGGAAGAACTAATACCAATACTTTTCAAGCTATTTCAGGAAATAGAAAAAGAGGGAGCTCTGCCAAATTCATTCTACGAGGCCAACATCACCCTGATTCCGAAACCAAAGACACCTCAAAGAAAGAAAACTACAGACCAATATCTCTGATGAACCTAGATGCAAAAATCCTCAATAAAATTCTGGTGAATCGGATACAAAGGCACATCAAAAAAATTGTGCACCATGATCAAGTAGGATTCATCCCTGGGATGCAAGGATGGTTCAATATACGGAAATCAATAAATGTTATTCACCACAACAATAGACTTAAAGATAAGAACCATATGATCATCTCAATAGACGCAGAAAAAGCATTCGACAAAGTACAGCATCCCTTTATGTTCAAAACATTA